ATAGAATAGAATAGAATAGAATAGAATAGAATAGAATAGAATAGAATTCTTTATTGGACAAGGGTGATTGCGCACACAAGGAATTTGTCTTTGGTGCAAATGCTCTCAGTGTACATAAAGGAAAAGAGACATTCATCAAGAGTCAAGAATCATAAGGTACTTGTAATTGTAGAGCAATAAATTGATACGCTTAGGAACTACGGAATTGGTATCACACTTGAAAAAAACTTGAAAAAACTTGAAAAAAACTCGCTCAGAAGTAAACAAGATAACAGCTCAAAAAAGAATCCTAGGGCCAAAACAAAAAGGCTTGTTTCTGATCACTTCTGATCAAAAAATCCCTGTTTCTTAAAGCACAGAGATCTAGTCATGACAAAAATGTTTTTTAAAAAAGGCATTCAACTCTTAGACCCTAAATAAAAACTCAGCATTTTTGCATGACATACAAACTTGCAAACTTAGCATTTTGCTAAATCATCTACATACAAACCAATGCATTTATAGAGCCAGAGAGGTTTTCCTCAATCAAATTACAAGTTCTCTTTAAGCATGTACTGAACCATGCACTCATATGCACTGTCATAAGCTTTGCAAAAATGATGTCAAATCTACATTTGCAAAATTTATTTTGTTTTCAATCCCATTTATTAAAAGCTTGATTCAATTTCAGCAGCTATGGCTTGACAAAAGGTTGGTTTTAAAGATCCTTCTGACAGCATTTCTAAACATCCTCATTTGCAATAGAGCACTTTATAATGTCTTGTTATTAAAATGTTACTAGCTCAATGCCCATGCTTTGCTACGAAACTATGTGGTCGGGCTTAGTTTTTGTGGAGGAAAAAAACGGGGGGAGAACTCTGCCTCTGCCTACCAGCATCCATCAGTATTCATCTGGCTAGTGTCCTGTCAGTATGGGAGGCTATTTAGAAACTGAAACAGTCTTTGTTGTGTGAGCAAGGAAACAGCAAGGAGCCTGGGCATGGCTTAGCTCAACTGTTCTATACTAAAGCTGCTTGGTGCTGTGAAACTAAAACTGAAACTAAAACTCCTCTCCTCTGCTTGTGTTTTGCATTGGGAACAGATTTCTTTTCAGGTGGGGAGGGAGAGTAGAACTCCTTAGCATCAGAGCGTGTTAATAATAATATAGGAAATACTAATGCTCTGATGGTCATTTCAAAAAATCCTTTCTTAGTGAGCACCTAGAAGCCAAGAGGGACATACATGCCAAATTTCAAGTTTGTAGGCTTTACGGTTCTGGAGATTTTGTGATGATGCATGAGTGGTATTTCCCTTTTATATTTATAAAAGATAATGTCTAATAACAGAAATGTTATTTTTATAGCCATCCAGAGATGACATCCTAAAGAAGTCCAGGGAGAGGACTTTTTCAGTAGCTCCTAACTCAACCTCAGAGTCATCTCATAGGCAGGGTCCACAGGACAGACTGACTCAGAACTAGGCAATGACTGTTTTTCATTATCAATAAAGGAGAATATTTGTAACTCAGAGTTGAAATGAGGGGGGTGGGTCCTTGGGGCTTTCTGAGCTTGGTTGTTTTCTAGCACTGATGATGTTGCCTAGTTTGGGTAATGAAACATCTGCAAGAAAACAACCAAGCTCAAAGAGCACTAAGGAGACCTCACTTTTTTGTATTGTGTGAACCCAGCCTCTGTCATTATTTTACAACACCCTCAAAATCAGCTTCCCTGAATAGCAGCAGTTGTAATTTGCCACTTTAATTTCCCATCATGTTCCATCATCAGTCTCGGTACCTCCAGATATATGGACAATTTTGAGATCAGGGATTTTATTTTTTTTCCTGGAAGCCACAATGTGTGGGTAAGACTGGCACCTGTGTTACCTTTTATGAAATACACAAGATCAAAATAGGCCCTTCCAGAAGAAGGGAATCAATTTTATAAGAAAGGGTGATAATTACAGCATATTACAAAAGTAGCTTGCCATAAGGAGAGGATGATACATTAAAAAGCAAATTATATCAAATGTAATCTTATTTATAGGCCTTACACTTGAGATTCCTATTTGAATTTTAATTACTTACACTGAAGGCAAGGGGCGCAGTAGGCTAAGAGCAAAACTGAATAAATATCTATTTTTTCCAGAAGTTAAAATTATGCCTTCAGTTTTGACATGACTATGAATAAGATGCAATGCAAATGTGTGTAATTAAGAGCATGAAATCTGGTTCCGAAATACTCATGTCCACTCAAAGTTTCTGCTCAAGTGAATCCCTAGAAACCTTTTCGGGTTGCTAGAGTAACATCTAATTAGTGGGGAGATTTTCACAACCAAATTGCCTTTTGGGATTTGCTCACATTTACATCTTCTTTCTTATCATTGAGATCTACTCGGGATGATTTTGGATTTTGCAGTCAAGTAACAACCTACTCTGAAAATAAAGATTCCATCATCACAAGATTCTAGATAGTATGGATGATTCTAACAATGAACAAACTACTCAGTTTAGATTAATAGCAATAGCACTTAGACTTATATACCGCTTCACATATAGCGGTTTACGGAGTCAGCCTATTGCCCCCAACAATCTGGGTCCTCATTTTACCCACCTCGGAAAGATGGAAATCTGAGTCATTCTTGAGCCTGGTGAGATTTGATTTGCCAAATTTCAGGCAGCTGGCAGTCAGCAGAAGCAGCCTGCAGTGTTGCAGTCTAACCACCGCACCACTGTGGCTCATACAGAAAAAAATCAGTTTTTATAATCAAGGATGTATGACCCTCACTTTTTTCCTCCATATTATCTAGCTATGGGTGGAAGAGCCATGCATGAAGATGGCAATTTTCTAGTCCCCCAACTAAAGAACAGATTATTGTAGTAAGAAGCACAGGATGTCTTGGAAAATAAAGTGCTCGGAAAGGAATAGTCAGGATTTTATCAGTTAACAGTGAGTGGACCTTTTGCTAGTGTGGAAGAGAAATTTTCATGAATAGAGATGAAATCTGTTTTTAAGGCCTTTTGTGTAGGATAAGGCTGAACATGAGTTGCAAACATCTGCCTTGTTCCCTCCCTTAAGGTTTTTTTTTAAGATTCTTTTTTAAAAATTCAATTTATTCATTTACTTTTAAGAATTGAAGCTATAGGACAGGGGTGTCAAATTCGATTTCATTGAAGGTACCATCAGGGTTGTGTTTGACATCGGGGGGAAGACGTGGCCAGGGGGCAGGGCCAGCTTGATGTCACTCATTGAGGCTCAGTTTTCAGCCATGACAGCCTCCTAGAGCCCTTTGCTTGTGGAGGCCATGTGTGGCCTGTCCCAGGCTCCATTTTCATTGGCAGAGGCACCTTGGGCTGGTCCTTCACTGTTTCCAGGGCAGTTCCATGGGCAAGAGCTAAGCACCCCATGGGCCAGACCAGCCCGCAGACCTTGAGTTTGACAAGCTGTAGGAGAATGACAGGCAGAGCCTGGGGGCAGAGTCAAGAGAGGAATTAGCCTGGAATCAATAAGTGCCCACAAGCAATCTTAGTCCAACCCCTCTTGAATTCTATTAACTTTTATCTAGTGCCAATTTAGCAATGACCATTCGTTGGCTAGATTCTTGTGTCTAGGCATGAGAAACAACTCAGCTTAACTAGAACTTAAATGTGTGGTCCTGATTCTTCGCTGCTCACAAAAGCTTTTATGCTACATAGTGAAGAAACACCCTCAGTGTTATATTTCTTTATAAGAAGGCACCATAACCATTCCTGGGATAGATGTCTACTTCTACTCTGCCAATAAAATAACAAGGAAAAAAATGTGATAGAGTGACTGTTCGCCATATTTTATTAGCCATATATAGTTTTCTTAGAAGCTTTGAGGATGCCACAGTTAGTGCCTGGGAATTTGGGAGGGGGGAATTCTTAGTGAGTGATAGATAAGACTCAACAACATTCTTCTCAAAAGTCAAGGGCATGTCATTCTGCATCTGGATGGGAGTAGGTGAAGGAATGCCTTCAGATAGAATGACGCTTGATTGGGCCATGTGATAGACTTGTTAGGAATATAAGTCATCTCACAGCTATTTGGGTTGGAAATATATAAACCAGGATTGACAATTTAATACTGTCTCTTTAAGAGAATCATAAAAGTGTAATTGGGTGTGGTTTCTCAAACGGCCATAAGATGGAGCCAGAAACCTGGGTTGTCTTCATCTTAGTCTCAGAAGAAGTCTTAGTGATTCTCTGTTTCCTTCGGTTGGAGAGTATTGCCGTTCCTCCATTTTTCCTAATTGACTGATATTCATGGATTTGATGTAAGTCTGATACTGAACTGTTTATGATACTGGACTGAAAACTGACTGATCTTACCTGTGAATGAATTTGGACTGTGTTTGAACTTGGCTTAACATTTCTGAAAGTAAAAACCTACATTTACTGCACAGTGTATCTGTATGCTGTATGTGTATTATTCAAACACTACTCTCAAATATGTCTCCCTGTATGTGCTCATTCTCCTAATGGGGAATTACCTCAACAAGACTGATGGGTGCAGGGGATGGATCTTTAATTTTCACTTGGGGAAGGGAAAACCCAGAAGTTTCAGATTCAGGTTTTCCCAGTTGTGCTATCATGACTTCCTTAATAAATTCTTATTTGGATGGACTTTGTTTCTGAGTGCTGAATGGACATGGGGAGTTTCTTTGAAATGCTGACAGTGGCAGAGAGAGCAAAACTCACCGTTTGCCTTCTAGTCATGGATAAATGTTTTTGTGCACAAAGTAAATAGTGAAAATACCCATGAAATATTCTCAAAATTCTTAAACTGCTTATTATACTCTACCCTGCCTAGACATTTGGTGGACAGAAAGGTGAATCCTCTAAGTCACTATGTTCATGGTTGTTGTTGTTTTTGAATATCTTATTTTTCTTGAGGGCATAGAATCTGTCTACTTAACAGGTTGCTTTTATTTGTCTCCCATATAATTTGTACATTGTAAAAATATAAGCAACCATTGTGAAACAAATTATTACGTGGTGAGTGGAAAAAATGCTAATATTGGCTAAAGGAGAACGTTATGAATTCCAGGCACATTTTGATGCTAATACTCATGTCCTCAATACACTTCAGCATTTCAGAAGGTTTTCCCTGATCATTATTTCACATATATTCAGTTATTTAAAAATAAGAAATGCGTTTGGATTGCCATGGATTGTTAATCAATTGTCTTCAGCTCCTTCCATGAATATCTGAGCTAAAACTAAGATTGCAGTCTGACCTGATTCAAAACAGAATAGGTTTGAGGAAAACAAGTCCATGCATATTTCAAATGCTGAGTGACTCTGTAATTAAATTTGGTGTTGATCTTGGATGAAGGGTATTTCAGACACAGCAACAAAGATATGAACACTGAAATGGTTTTGAGTTTTATAAAAGGAGATGGATTACAATTTTAGAATTTAATCGTAATGTTATAGATATGCCAGCCTGCCACCTTGTGGGAAATGGAACAAACAGGTTTGAAGGCCCTGGGAAATCTGATATACACATTTGAAGAATTTTAAAAAAATCTTTCAACAAAACAAAACTAGTCTCCTCTGGAAATGTTACATTTCTAGAATTTCCAAATGAAGCTCAGGCTGGGTGAAGAATACAGGGTTTTTAGTTTTTAAGACCTAGAATGAAAGTATTAAATTGAGGAAAACTGAATGAAAATACTGCTCCTTTTAATAGGTTTGACAATTACCAAATGCTTGAGTAAGGAAGGCAAATAACCATGCATTTCAACTTCAGGAAATTCTCCAAGCAGAATATTTTTCTTTTTAAGATGTTAAAATCTTAAAAATAGAGCATCCAACACATAGGTAGAAATGGGCAAATCAATTTGTTTCTAGACTTCTTTTTTTTCTTAAATCTGTTCTATCTCATTTATGCTTTAGATTTATCTTTTAGTGTGTGAGAATTGTTACCATATAATTGGTAATGTTAATCATATATCTAGTTTCAAAATACTTTTTTTTTCAAAATAGACTTTAACAAAAAAAAAACAACCCTTGGTTTGAGAGTTGTTGGGGGAAATTTAGGAAATGCAAAAGCTTATCAGTAAGCTTTCTCAATGAATGATGAAAGCTTATGAATAACAAAGTTGACGATTCACATCTGTATTCACAAAGATCAGCTGAACAGCATCCTTAATCATGAGTTGCCAATATGTAGCCTGGGTACCACAAATAATCTGGACAGCAAAAATTATATCACTTCTGAACACAGAAGAAGTGAGCGTCCCTCTGTTTTGTTTAGATCTGATGATCTTTACAAGCTTTCTTAGTCCAGAAAAGCTTGTCAATTTAGATTACTGTACAAGAGCTGGATGAAAAATAGATAAAATCCTGAGGAGCTACAGACTTATTGACTATGGATGCCTGCAAAATCTCATTGTATTTGTCAACCGACCATTCCAAAACCAAGGCACACACAATCTTGCCTTACTCCAATGGCCAAATCAGAAGAGACTTCAGTGTTGTTTGAAAACAGACTTTACCTGTAGATGTTACATAACGTAATGGTTATTACACAACTTCAGGCTTGAACTGTCTTTGCTAACACACACATTTTCACAGACATGCTGGTTTGGCACACTGAAATAGAGGCAGCAGTTTGTGGAGTCAAAAGCAATAAACACATACGATAAAAGCTGGAAAGGTTTATTAAACATAGCAGAGTGAAAGAATTACTTCAGCTGCAAAGCAGTTTAAACAGGAAATATCCATTGGCAAGGCGGGAAAACAGCACATATAATATTCAGTAGAAAATGGCGAATATGGGTCAAAAATCTAAATCCTTTAATAATTAGTTTAGTTTAGTTCACTCTCTTCTCTTTAAAGGCAGCCATAGATATCCCTCATATTATTCTGGCTAGTGTTTGCCACCTTTCATAGGTAAACTGTGGTTTGCTTCTTGGGGTGATTGATAGAGTGTACATCATTCCTTCTTAATTAATCAGATATCTTCCCAGACACCGGCTAATGTGTCACAGACATTCCACAAATAAAGAGCACACATGAATAAAGAAAATATCCCTGACCATGACAAGTCTAACTTCCTATAGTTGGCTAACTTTATGATTTAAGATCATGCTATATTGACACCATTAATTATAACCCAGAAATGCCAGAACAATTAGACACAGAGACAAGTTTTTCCCTCATGCCATCATTCTGCTGAATATCTAATTCCTACAGCACTGTCTCATGTCTATGGATATTTAGCCATATAGTAGGACTGTATTACTATTATCTTTCTCATGTTTTCTACTATCTTCTCCTACTGATATTTTATGACTATATTATTGTTTGTATGTATATTGAGAGCTTATGCATCCAAGACAAATTCCTTGGTTGCCCAATCTCACTTGGCCAATAAAGAATATTCTATTCTATTCTATTCTATTCAGCATTTATATCAAGCTATGAAGTTTTTGTGTTCCAAAAAGCAAAAGCAAAAGAAGTAAGAGTAATCCATCAGCTACTGGTTTGTAGCCCTTAACACCTAAAATGAAAAGGCACGCTTATAGAAAAAAGGGTGCATTCCTCCTTGCTGTTCTTCTGCAATTCCAACACACAAACACCAAACATCCAGACAAAAGCATAGGAAACTTCAGAAGGAAAACTGAAAGTATAGTACATATTATCCAGCCAGAACATTTCAAGGGAGTAGTGAACATTTTAAGGGAGATATGTATGAGTTGAACAATTAATCCATTATTTGACAGAGCAAGTATTTATGAAAATGACTGTAGCATAATTATTATATGTTTTGGGAATATGTTCATCTTGTGAAATTAAGTTAATTATTAGAATCCAATGGCACATATCTTGGAAAAATAAAACTTGTTTTGAGTTAGTCGAAGCAAGTTATACACTAATAATTTGAAGATATTGTACTGGGTTTTGTTTTTGTTTTTTGTTTATGTATAAGAACAAGAAAAATCATGTACCTTTCATGCAAAAAGTCCAAAGTTCAACCCTCAAAATCTCCAGCTAGCATTAAAAAATACCTTCTTATCTAGAATTCTGGATGGTTTTTGCCAATTACTAGACCAAAGTAGATGGAAGGTTGATATGTAACTGTATTCTGTTTTCCACCATTAAGAAAACTTTTATTTTTCCAAAATCTTTAGCAGAAATGTCATTTAATATTATTTTCCTTTATCCCACCCTTGGATGGAGTATTCTGTGTATTTTAAGAACTCTCTTCCTATAGCAGAGGTCTCCAAACTTGTTCTGGTTCGTCGGCAGCAGGCGCCAATGGCTGAGGCCTCGGAGAGCAAGAACTCAGATGAGGGGCCTGCGTGTGATGCAGGGATAGGGCCAGGACCATCAGGGAGTGAAATGCTGCCTTCGGAGATTGTGGAGGCTGGCAGCAGTGATGAAGAGGTCCCCGAGGAGCCTGTGCCCAGTGCACGTGTGCACAAGGCTGCTCGAAGGAAAGAGCATCTGCAGCAGCATGGGCGACTCAGGAGTAAGGCTGCAAGGTAATGGCCCTTCCCTTAAGAGATAAAAGCCAGCTGAGAAACCGGAGTTCTTTGCAGGAAGCAAAGAATTTTTTGCACTCAAAGAATTTTTTGCACTTGTGGACATTCGGAATATCTTAGTTGGTGTTTGGAGACTCTTTGTGTTTGAAATATTTCTTAGTAACTTTATCTAGTGTTCTTGGCAGCCATGCACAACCTTGGCAAGGCTCATTCTTATCAGAGATAATTAGTTTGAAACAGCTTTTTAACCATGAAGGAACTGAATTTGTAAAGAATAATTAAAAGGTTTTTCTGTTACCTCTGTTTCGTATTTGTTTCCTTGGAACAAGGTTTGGGTCAGAACAAAACTTGGCAACTTTAAGACTTGTGGACTTCAACTCTCAGAGCTCTGGGAATTGAAGTCCACAAGTCTTAAAGTTGCCAAGTTAGATTGGCCTAAGAGGGTTGAATATTTCTAAGCAGCTTTCAGAGTCTTCATTAATGTAGCTGACCATCATTTAAAAAGCATCTCAGTGATATAAATATTATTACTCACCTTGTTCCACAGGATCCCGCAATCCAAGTGCATTGCTTGGCTCTCCCAGAGCTGTAGCTTTGTACATTGTCAACCACAATAGTGGGCTGGAGCCTTGTGTGAACATAGGCACACCAGTTCCTAAGCAAATAGAAGGAGAAATAAAAGGACTTATTATACACCTGATAACATAAATAAAAATTCTGATGGGCATCTGGAAAAAAAAACCCACTATGTTAAGAGATAGGATGATGCACATAGCAAAATTTGGATTCCATTGTATTAGATTACTATCCATAGAATATATGTCTATGGAAATTCTCAGTCATCCAGGTCTTGGTTGTCCCAAAGGTGCTTTTTCAAAAGGCAACTGGACTTTCTGGTTTTTCTTTGAAGACATTTCACTTCTCATCCAAGAAGTTTCTTCAGTTCAGAATTAATCCAAATTAATCTTTGACTCTCTGAGAAAGAATGTTGCTGAGTCTAATCTTCTACCTCTCTATGAAATCCCACCTCCCAAATTCCCAGGCACTAAATGTGGCAGCCTCGAAGCTTCCAAGTAAAATATGACTTCCAAGGGTGACAGACACTGAGACAGCTAACTGTGTTTAGGAGTACACCCAAAGAATTATTGGAGTCACCAAGAAAGTAAAGTACCATTTAAAATACAAGCACTCAGTTTTGTCTGGATTAACCTTAAACTGTTTCTTTCCTCCAGTCCATGAATGACATCAAAATCGAGTTTAGAACTTCAGCAATTTTCTTGAATGAAGAGGACCAGGTATGTGATAAATAAAACTTAGATATTTCAGGCTGCAAATGTGATTCGGTTTATGTTTCATGAATTCACAATATTGATCAGCAGATGGCAACCTTTCCCAAGGCACATTTCCAAGACTTTTCATCGGCTAGCAAAGAGATAGACTAAGACAATTGTGCAGTCTTTCTGTAAAGTTTTTCTTGTATTGCCCAGTTTCCAAGTCCTAGTATTTGTAACCTGTCCTCCTTAATTTATACATCATAACTTATACAAAGAGCCTTAGTAAAAAATATTCAAATTAGTTATTCAAATTAGTTTGACTAATTTCAAACTAATATTCAAATTCTATGAACATAGCCATTTATGTTTCTTGGCAACAAAGCAAACATTTTTTGGAATTTATTCAATATACTAGTCTAGCCTAAGGCTATGCCAGGACCCTAGTCTAGTTTAGGGTCCTGGCAGAGCCTGCCACTCAGCTATGTAGCTGCCATGACCTTGCTTATCTTGGAAGACCATGTGACTTAGCCATGTGCTGATACCTGATACTCCATGGCTTCATGGAGAAGAATGAGGAAGAATGAGTGTGATGATGTCAAGATAGAAATTCTTTAAATCGGAATGTAAATACACAAGGATATTTGTGAGATGGCGTCACTGGATAAATAGCATCCCTTTGATATAATCTTGATTTGCCAAGGATGACCATACATTATGCATAGTAATAACCAAAGGGCAAAAGTAATGACCAATCAAGTGGGAAAAAATGCATAGATCTTTTAAAAAGATGCATACTTTAGAAAGTATTTATATACTTATATGTGTGTGTGTGTAGCTGGCATCATGTACCGGACTATTGGCACAGTGTATGGGCTACATCAGAGTTCCCCAAACCCTGGTTCATGGACCAGCATTGGGTCGTGGCATGCCAGAAATCGGGCTGCACAAACAATCAAAAGAGAGGTGATATTCAGCAAGTTCTAACCAGTTCTGGAGAACCGGTAGTGGACATTTTGAGTAGTTCAGAGAACTGGCAAATGCCACCTCTGACTGGCCCTGCCCCCATCTCTTCTCTGCCTCCCATTGAGTCCCAGCTGATTATCTGGGTCTTCTTTGGTTGCCCTGCCCAGGAGAACGGAGCTGGAAAGCAGGTTAGTGGGGTGGGGAGGGAATGGGAATTTTACAGTATCCTTCCCCTGCCATGCCCACCAATTCATGCTCACAGAACCAGTAGTAAAAAAATTTGAATCCCACCACTGTGCAGAACCCTCAAACTTCCATGCCTCTGGTAGAGGATCCAAGATTGAAAAAGGCTTTTTCAAATCAAGTCCATAAACATTTCTCAGTTTGAATTGCTAATACGGGCAGTCTTCAACTTACGGCCATAATTGAGCCTAAAATGTATGTTGCAAAACCAGACATTTTGCTAAGTGAATTTTGCCCCTTTTTACAGCATTTCTTGCACCAATTGTTACATGATTCCCTGCAGTTGTTAAATTATGTACACAGTTGTTAAGTAAATCTGGTTTCCCCATTGACTTTGCTTGCCAGAAAGTCACAAAAGGTATCCCTGATCCTGGGACCCTGCAACCGTCATACATGTTAGTCAGTGGCCAACTGTCTGACATTTTGATCACTTCACCATGGAGCTGCTGTAATGGTCCTAAGTGTGAAAAATGGTCATAAGTCACTTTTTTCAGTGAGGTTGTAACTTTGAACAGTCACTACATGAACTATTCTGTTACAGGTGATAGAAATCCTCCCTTTGGGCTCCTCAGTCATTTTTAACAATGTAAAGGAATCCTGACACCAAAATGTTTGAGAAATGCTGATCTAGAAAGTTCTAAGGAAGATCGATCTCTAATCTATTCAGAAGGCCAAATGCGAATTTTTTTAAAAAAGTTTCTTCATGACTTTTTGCCCAATATTTATTTATTTTATTTATTTATTTATTTATTTGATTTGATCTGTCAATCACTTACAATAGGTTTAAGTATAAACATGAGTAAGAATCCAGGAAATAGGTATGAATAAATGGGGACAATAGGACAGGAACAGTAGGCACGATGGTGCACTTATGCACGCTCCTTACAGACCTCTTAGGAATGGGGTGAGGTCAATAGTGGATAGTTTAAGGTTAAAGTTTGCGGGGTTAGAGGATGTAATAACAGAGTCAGGTAGTGCATTCCAGGCATTGACCACTCTGTTGCTGAAGTCGTACTTTCTTCAATCAAGTTTGGAGCCGTTTACATTGAGTTTGTGTCTATTGTGTGCTCTTGTATTGTTGCAGTTGAACCTGAAATAGTCATTGACTGGTAGGACATTTTGGCAGATAATTTTGTGTGCTACGCTTAAGTCTAACCATAGGCGGCAAAGTTCAAGGTTGTCCAAGCCCAAAATCACAAGCTTGGAGATATTGGGTATTCTGTCCCTTTTGCGGTCAGTGTTATTTCCCCCATCCCTTAATATAATTGATTGATAAATCAATTGTTTTCCACTGTGCAGCAAACAACAGAAAGGAAATTAAATTCCAATGTCTCAACCTTTTATGTATCCTGGGGGCAATGGACAATAATACCAGATGGCAATTAATAATTTAAAGAGTGTTACGTAAGATTCAACATTTCTTTTTAAAAACGTTCGGCCACTATGAATTATTCCTTGGGCCCTGCCACTGGAAATGATAACACAATGCCACTTCAATCACAACCCTTTGATTAAGGTAACGCAATTGTAGGAGTGTATCCAGGCATTGCTTTTACAATAGGTTCTGGAAGACTTGCAGAAATAGATTTAAAATGGAACTTTTTGTTGAAATCTAATTCATTCCACGCATACCAGAACTCTAAAACTTCACCTCAGCAATATGATAAAGATCATTAAGCAGCAGCTGAAAAATTAAAAGACCATTTAAAGGCGTGAAAACGTATGAATTTCTAGGATGTAACTGATGAGTTTTGCTGTATGTACAGTATGTATATATAGAATAGGCCACGAAGCTAATGTAGGAACACCAGGATATACATTCTTCTAGTCCCTAAGGCCACATGTCCAAATGATGCATGTGCTTAGCATAATGGTTGCCTGGTTACCAAGATACCAGGGAGAAAGATTCTGTTCTTTTCCATCGGGCCCATTTCTGACCTCATTACTGAAAATTTAGAGGTCATAGTTGAAGTCCCATTACCCAAGTTCCTGCCTACACTCTTCTGGCAACTACCATAGTAAGATTCCTTACTATACATTCTTTGTTCATTTTTAAATATTGAGAAGGATGGCATGTAGTAAAATTAGCCTGTTCCTCCAGTATCATTGTGAAATAAAATATAGGCCCCAAGAGCTTGGAGACATTTTTTAATTTAATGCCAAAGAAGCCCATTTGGTTTTGAAGGAAAGGGAAGGAGGGAGGGAGGGAAGGAGGGAAGGCAGGCTGAAAAGGAGGAAAGAAGGAAAGAGGAAGGAAAGGAAGGAAGGAGGAAGGGAAGGCAGGCAGGCAGGGGGGAAGGAAGGAAGGAAGGAAAGAAGGAAGGAAGGAAGGAAGGAAGGAAGGAAGGAAGGAAGGAAGGAAGGAAGGAAGGAAGGAAGGGTATCCCCAAACCAGGCACCATCCAAATATGTGGATTTTACTCCCAATATCTCCCAACCAGTTTCTGAGGAATACATGTAGTATTCAGTAAGTTGTATAAACAAACAAACAAACAAAGAAACAAATAAATACAAATAAAATAAAATAAAATAATAAAATAAAATAAAATAAAATAAAATAAAATAAAATAAAATAAAATAAAATAAAATAA